CCACTGGGACATCATGTTTAGAAAATAAACGTCCCAGTTTCTCCGAAGAAGAACCCGTCCAGAAGACCTATACAATTTTTTTTTCTGCGACTGCTGCATGCGAGTGATGGGGGGTGCGGATGGGTGACAGCCGGTAGCAAAAATACATAAATAACATGAGTCAGGTTTGGATTAGAATCAGTAGTTACATTTTAAATCCAAGGAAAGCAAGATTGTTAATAAATTGGACAACATTCTGGCTATTAAGTGATATTTCCGCAATTGTGGTCTTGACTGGTCTTGAAATAAAATTCCGAGTCCTCAATGTCCGAGACAGAGACAAGACCAAGACCATCAAAATGTGGTCTTGAGACCGATCTTAAGACCAAGACCGTTTCAAGTACTACAACACTACCATGAGCCTTTAGCCAAGATTCTTAACTTTCTATTGATACCAAACATGTCCAGGTTCAATTTACAGATGTTAAGTTAACAGAAGTTAAAAATATAGAAAAAGTGAAATGCTGGTTTGCATGGGGCTCAAGAGGTTAACTTTGTGTTTGTTTTATTTTGTTTTTCGTAGCGACGACTTGGCCTTTGACTTTGAAGGGTACTCGTTCATAATGCTGAATAACGTTCTGACGGCAGCCAGCGGGGCGTACGTGAAGCAGAAGCTAGACTCGAAGGTGAGCAGAGCTGCACTTGGCCTCGTGGCCGGCGTGAACGCTGAGGGTCATCAGTGTGTTTCTGCAGGAGCTGGGTAAATATGGGCTGCTGTACTACAACGCTCTGATCATGATCCTCCCCACGCTGGCATATGCTCACTACTCAGGAGACCTGCAGGCGGTAGGTCTGAGAACACACCGCTCTGCATGATTCGGTCCATCAGGAGTGTGTCACCGTGTGTGTGTGTGTGTGTGTGTGTGAACAGGGTCTGCAGTATAAAGGCTGGTCCGATCCCCTGTTTGTTGTGCAGTTTGTGCTCTCCTGTGTCATGGGGTAAAGTAGATGTCCGACTCCTGGTGTCCTGTCGTACACGTCGTGTGGCGCTCACGTTCATTTCCTGTCTTCTGTGTTCTTGCAGCTTTATCTTGATGTACTCCATCCTGCTGTGCACGCAGCGTAACTCGGCTCTCACCACATCCATCATCGGTTGTATAAAGGTAAGTCGTCCGTGAAGGATGCCGACTTGTGAAACTGGATGCATGTCGATAATTATCTCCCTGAATTCCTCAGAATGTCCTTGTTACGTACATCGGGATGGTGTTTGGTGGAGACTACATTTTCACCTGGACCAACTTTGTGGGTTTGAACATCAGGTGAGACGGAAAGACGGGTTAAGTTTTAGACATGGTTTCTCCTGCAAAGGGATCATTTCTCAGCACACACACATGATTTGCACACGTGTGAATGTGACTTCACATGTGTGACGCTATATTCAAAGCTGAATATAGGATGAGGGCCAAAACAGCCAGCAGTCGCTACATCCTTATAGCAGGTTATATGTAATCCTAAACCAGCTAATGATTGGATTAATGATAGAATGACACCAGTAACTGAGAGGCCACTGCTGGCAAATGAGAAGACAATTCATTAGCATTAGGGAGGCTAGCATTTAGCATGGATAAGCTGATGTTAGCATAAGAGGCTAGCGACTAACATGGCTAACATGAATAAGCTGATGTTAGCATCAGAGTAGCTAGTACTAGCATGGATAAGCTGATGTTAGCATCAGAGAGGATAAGCAGCTTATCCATGCTAGTTGCTAGCCTCTCCAATGCTAACACCAGCTTTTCCATGCTTGTTTCTAGCCTCTCCAATGTTAATGCCAGCTTATCCATGTTAGTCACTAGCCTCTCCAGTGCTAACGCCATCTTATCCATGCTAGTTGCTAGCCTCTCCAGTGCTAACGCCAGCTTATACATGCTAGTTGCTAGCCTCTCCAATGCTTACACCAGCTTATCCATGCTAGTCACTAGCCTCTCCAGTGCTAACGCCAGCTTATCTATGCTAGTCGCTAGCCTCTCCAATGCTAATGCCAGCTTATCCATGCTAGTTGCTAGCCTCTCAAATGGTAACACCAGCTTTTCCATGCTTGTTGCTAGCCTCTCCAATGCTAACACCAGCTTTTCCATGCTTGTTGCTAGCCTCTCCAGTGCTAACGCCAGCTTATCCATGCTAGTCACTAGCCTCTCCAGTGCTAACGCCAGCTTATCCATGCTAGTTGCTAGCCTCTCCAATGCTTACACCAGCTTATCCATGTTAGTTGCTAGCCTCTCCAATGCTAACGCCAGCTCATCCATGCTAGTCACTAGCCTCTCCAGTGCTAACACCAGTTTATCCATGCTAGTTGCTAGCCTCTTCAATGCTAACGCCAGCTTATCCATGCTAGTCACTAGCCTCTCCAGTGCTAACACCAGCTTATCCATGCTAGTCACTAGCCTCTCCAGTGCTAACACCAGCTTATCCATGCTAGTTGCTAGCCTATTCAATGCTTTTTATTAATTTTTTTATTAATGTATAGACAAACCTTACAAGCTTATGTATAAATGAAGATGAACCATAACATTGAGCAGAAAGTTTTTTTATCCTAAATAATGAACAAGAACAAAACTAAAACACAAACATTGAAAGCCTTCAAGAAAGTCAGTCTCTCCAGTGCTAACGTCAGCTTATCCATGCTAGTTGCAAGCCTCTCTAGTGCTAACACAAATGAAAAGTCTCTTCATTTGCCAGCACTGGCCCATCAGTTTGCAGGGCCAGCTGCTCAGTTATCAGTGTCAGCCTATCATTAATCAGACCAATAGCTGTCTTAGGAATAGATATAGCCTCCTGCTACCAGGATGCAGCAACCACTGGTTGCACAATAGTCTTAATTTAGGTCCTCAAACAGCTCCATAGATGAAAAGCTGGGAAATCTGAGCTTTACCACATTTTATTAATTTATTACATTTTTATGTAAGTTTATTAAAACACACACTTGCGCTGACATTACTGGGTTCAGAACAAGTTCCATTTTATGGACTGTACAGCTGAAATAAACAACCTAATATGAGGTTTCTGCCAGGCCCTAAAA